TGTACAGGCTTCCAGTTCCAGGCGATGTGTTCTGATCTAATACTCCCTCCATTCCTTATTATAAAAGACATTTGATGCTTATAGTATGTTCTTGTATATAAGAGACACTTAAAAGTTGTTTCTGCTTTTTTGTGTTCATTTTCTATTTTACCCATATTTATTGTCTCCAACTCACACTCTCTCTCCTTCCCACTTCTCTTTCTTTTAATAATTTATTATTGTTCTCTCTCCTTATTAATGAGGGCATTTTTGAAAAAAAATTATACTTTTTACATATTGATTGTTCTTAACTAATTTTAACTGTTTTTTTTATCAACGTAATTCGTTATTCGTCTCTTATAATAAGGAACAGAGAGAGTACCAAATATGGAATATATGTAAGAATAAAATAGGCACGAACAATGATGCAGCTGAAAGCATCTTATGCAGAATTTGTTTGGAGGAATGTGAAATTATTAAATTAAATAAATGAAAAGGTGATATAAAAATAATTAAGAAAACAAAAGATCATGATTATATTATATATTCATAAATTCTTGAATTTGCTTATTGTTTTTGTTTCCTTCATAGTGAAGGCTGAGAAAAGAAAGAGAAAGATAGTCTTGAGAGTGCTCAGTACACGGGTACGCAACGCCGCGCAATTTTCAATTCTTCAGCGTATGTACCGCGTTTGCTGAGGCTTTCTTTTGTACTTTTCTTTATTTTTCTCCTTTCTTCTGGAAATTTTAAAAGTGGAGGGAGAATATTTGATTTAATTATCAACCTAATGGATCCGCAACCACTCACGATGCTTCTTATTAGATCTGAACCATTCAAATCTCATTTAAATTGTTTAGATTTATTTTTTTATTTTTATTTGTTTAAAATAATTATTTTAATACCTGTAGAATATAAAATAAAGATAATTTCTTAACCACTATTTTTTAAAAAAATATTTTTATTTAAAAATAATTAATCTAAAATTTAAACGCTTCAAATAAGACCTAAATGAGCAAATGGTATGAGTTTACAATGATTACAAAAGTGATGAGCACTAAATTTTTGAAGAATATGAAACTATGCCCAAATTTTGCATCTGCGATGATGCCGATTACGCACACCGTATGACCGGGTCCCATGGAATCAATCCTCCTCAAGCATGGATTTTAGCGGACGGTTTATAATTATTTCCCATATTCTCTGCAAAATTACATGCCAATCTAGACTGGATTAAAAAAAATAAAAATAAAAAATAAATTAAAAAGAACTATGAGAAGAAAAAAAATAGTTGTCAACGAAGAAGAATGACTAAGAAATACAACCTTTTTTACTTGGAAAAAAGAGAGGATAAAAACTGACGCGTCAATGCGGAATTATTATCAAGCGCGAGGAAGATTCCTGATTCGTGGCTCTACCCATATATATATACACACGCGCACACACGCGTACAAGCATGCCTCGCTGATAGAGAGAACAAGTCCAATCTCCATTTATTGATTCAATCGTTCGGTCTTCTCTCCCAAGTCCCACCCTTCATCAGCTATCTTCTTCTTCTTCTTCTTCTTCTTCTTCTTCAAGACTCACCACACAGATATGGAATACTTACCGTTAGAGCTCACGATAATTTCCGCTAAAGATCTTCAAGATGTCAACCTTTTCTCCAAGATGGACGTTTACGCCGTCGTTTCGATTTCCGGCGACGCCTACCAGAACCAGAAGGCCAAGACCCCTGTCGACAGAGACGGTGGCACCAGCCCCACCTGGAATTTCCCCATGAAATTCAACGTCAACGAATCGGCGGCGCGCCAGAACCGTCTCTCCATCGAAATCAAGCTCAAATCTGAGCGTTCCATGGCCGGCGACAAGGACATCGGTGTCGTTCACGTCCCAGTCAAAGAGCTTCTGGATAACACCGGCGATGGCAAGTCGGCGCAGTTCGTCAGCTACCAGGTTAGGAAGCCCTCGGGGAAACCCAAGGGATCGTTGAATTTCTCTTACAAATTTGGGGAAAAGGTCACCGCTCCTGTCGCTGCGCCGGCCGGGAAGGCGTATCCGGAGGGAGTTTCAAAGGGTGAGCCAGTGATGGCGTATCCTCCCTCAGCGGCGGGATCCAGCTCGGCACCGGCATATGGTGCGCCATACCCTCCACCGCATGGAGCATATCCTCCTCCGCCGCCACAGTACGCAGCTGGTTACGGGTACCCGCCACCTCCACACCAGGGAGGGTATCCACCGGCATATGGTGGGTACCCGCCCGCACAACCGGGCTACGGGTACCCGCCGGTTCAGAAACCGGCGAAGAAGAACAAATTTGGGATGGGTTTGGGAGCCGGGTTGTTGGGTGGAGCTCTCGGCGGTTTGCTGATCGGAGATATGGTCTCCGATGCTGCTGATTACGATGCTGGGTATGATGCGGGCTTTGATGATGCTGGTGGATTTGATTTCTGATCACCTTTTTTTTCCCCCTCCTTTGGGTTGTAATTTTGAAGTACCTGTAATGTTATAACTGATAATCTGCATCATGTTTAGCTCCTTTGAATGTGTATAAATCATTTTGGATTTTGAAGTGTTGCGAATAATCCTATGAATATGGGGCGTTTAATTGCGAAATATAAGAATTTTGTGTCACTATACATGAAACGCATGCTTATAATCAAACGGTGCCACGATCTTGTTCTAGGTCTTGATGAATTTTGCAGATGATGGTGTTCTCTTTTCATAACCAGAATAGAAAAAATAACATAAAAGACCAAACTTGTTTAATTTAAAATGGAGTCGGATGAGAAAGCATCTCCGGCTGAGAGCACGAAGATATTTTCTTGTCGTCAGATATAAGATGGAGTGGGGTTGATATCAGTTGAATATTTTATAGATAAATAAAAATTCAAGCTTGAACATCCACTAAAAATGTAATATTGTATTTTGATCGATGGCTAAACCTTTGATGAGAAGGAATGCTGTTACATCTGCACCAACGACACTAATTTTGATGATGAATCGTTGTTTTTTAAACCCGGGCAGGTATCCGGATATAACAGGAGGCCGAAAACAAATACACATATTTAAATTAACAAATACACATATTTAAATTAGTTTGAAATCACTTGTAAATACGTTTCACTTAACTTGAGATTAAACTCTTTTTACATGCCTACATAATATTTCATTAATCGTGATTGAAAAACTGTTTATAAAGTATTCTAAATAGGTCAAAAAATTAATCATATACACGAATGCTTATGAGTTTAGTTGTGTAGGCTTTTGAAACTGGGATGTTACAGAAAATTCCATGCTCTTTTAGAAAGAAATGGGGAAGCATCCAAAAGGCCTCTGCAAATAGTGTCTTGGTCTCTACATTGAGTGACAACAACGTTGGATGTGGATGTTGTTTATAATTCATTGAATTTACACTGTTTGAATATAAGATTTGACTTTCATCTCTCCATGAGAGGAATATATGGCGTGTGTGTGGAATATAAAAGGCAGCAGGGACACATAATGAATGAATGACATAGTGGGCGTATAATTAATGGCAACCGGCAAGCCCCGCTGTTGAAACCTGAAAGGGAAAGTTGGAAGATGCGTCGTCGTTTATCTAAGAAAGAAGCATGGGAAAAAGCCTCCGCAAATTGGGTCTTACATTTCTGCTTCGGTTACGTAGGCTGACAATATCATCCACTGCGACGTAAATGGCCCAAAGGGATAGAGAGAAATGAAACACAATACTAGGCACTTTATGTCAGTTAAGAATTACAACCAAGTTTCGTTAAAAAAAATTACAAAATAAGTTTCAAAGATTGTTACTCTTCATTGTAGGACTTGTCAATTAAGTTGTTATAAGCACTTTTTAATAATTATTTATCTTCTGAGAGACTTGATTATAATTCTCTCTAAATTCATTCATGTATAAACATATTATAGCTCGTGGTTGCTTCTTCTGCGTATGGTCTAGCTCCCTCCTTGAAGAATAAAACTTAAATCAAGTCCAAAAAAAAAAAACCACCACATATTTTTCATCAGCAACATAAAAAAAATTATCTTCTGTCTTAATTATAAGAACTGGTTGACTAATTAAGGAGATTAAAAAAATAAATTAGATTAGTTATTTGTAACAAATTGGTATTGTCTTTCTTAAAATATCATTGTTAATCAAGTTTATTAGTTAAAACTATCATTATTAAAAAGACTACTTTAAAAAAATACATAAATATAAGAAAAAAATAGATTCAGATTTTATAATTAAGATCAAAATAAAAATCAAAGGAATACTGATATTAAAAACGACTACCGCAGAGTTAAAAAGAGTCGCTGTAACGTCTTCGCCCGTCACGCGCAAATGCAATGTTTACTCTTCAATCTAACTCCATGCCGACGCAAGCCTTAGGTCTGTTCAAAGCATGCTGGTTAAAAAAAAAAAAAGTCTGTTCAAAGGAAGGGGCATAAATTGTCTCCTCTAAGTAATCAAATATCAAAATATTTATTGGGAGAATTACAATCAACTCTCACAGAAAAAGATAATTACTAAAAGATCTTAATAATAATTTTAATAGCTTATAATAACAAGTCATGAGAATAATAACTTCTGAAACTTATTTTTTTAATTATTTTTCTTATTTAGTACCTCGTTATAATTCTCTCATATTTTTTTGTTGTTTTTATTATATATATACATGTATATATTTTGGGTACAGATTATATACTCCTCCGGTCCTTAATATAGGACCCAATTGGTGAGTTAGTTTTGGTCCTAAATATAAGACCCATTTCTCATATTTATCAATTTTCTCTAAATTACCCTTATAGATACTCCCTCAATCATAATCAAGTGTAGAAGAGGGAGGGGGTATTAAGAAAGATGATTATGGTGTTTTAGGAAAAACATGTCACATTTTTTATAATTAACTAACTTACCTAGCTTCCTTAATCTAATCAAATTAGTTAAATGGGTCTTATATTAAGGACCGGAGGAGTATATATATATTTGTTTATATGTATATCGCATTACTTTCTGGCCGACCGAGAGGGCGCTTTCCTCCTACCTCCTCCATGCGTTTTTTAGGGTTTAGGGTTTGAACTCTGAAGAGCTAAACAGTTCAACAGCAAGAGGAGCATTCTCGTAGGCGGAGATGAGACCGTTGGACGAGGCTGAGACAACTGCAGTGTTCGAAAAGCTCTTCAAATTCGTCGGAAACAACCTCAAGAACATCGTTGAAAATCCCTCCCATGAAGGTCCCGATTCCAACCCTGGCCGCTATTGCTTCCGCCTCAACAAGAACAAAATCTACTATGTCAGCGAATCCCTCGTCAAGCGGGCGACCAATATAGCCCGACCGAATCTCGTTTCTCTCGGCACTTGCATCGGCAAATACACTCACGGAGGTAATTTTCATCTCACAGTTCAGGCCCTGAACTTGTTGGCTGCTAATGCTAAGCACAAGGTCTGGCTCAAACCCCAGTCTGAGATGTCTTTCTTGTACGGGAATCATGTTTTGAAGAGTGCTTTGGGAAGGATTACAGAGAGCATTTCGCCTGGTGATGGGGTTGTGGTGTTTTCCATGTCTGATGTGCCGTTGGGTTTTGGTGTGGCTGCTAAGTCCACGCAGGATTGCAGGAAATTGGACCCTAATGGTATTGTGGTGCTTCACCAGGCCGATATTGGTGAGTATTTGAGGATGGAGGATGAGCTTTGAAAGTTTTTTTTTTTTTTGGGCAATAGTATTGGTGTTAGAAAGAGGGGCATAACTGTTATAATTTTTGTGAGTGTCTTATCCAATTCGGGTCACTGAGTTTTTGATTCAACTAGGAACTTGTGTATTACACTGAGAACTCTGTTTTGTTGAATACTGCAGTGACTATAACCATATTCGTCTTCCCCTCGACTATGTTAGTGCCTGCAATGTCGTTTTACTTGTATGAATTCAATTACTTGTCTTTTCTATGTTAAGGATTTTTGGAATCATTATGCTTTCTACATCTACATTTTACATTGAAAGCCCCTGAATGTTTCTGCTCCTCAAGAGCAAGGAAGACAATGCATTGCGGATTCCAGCTGAGGCACTCTATATCTTTTCTTACTCCCTTGAAATGAATACCATATTTAATTCAGAACTCTTATGAACTTGTCGTACGTTTGTGATTTGTTATTTGGATTTTCGTATGTAGTGGTTTTAAGAGTGTTGCCATTTGTTTTTTGGGACTTTGTAGAGCATCGCTAAATTGAATTTCCATTTGCTGACATTTTTTTTTCTTTCCTCCTCTTTTTTTTTTTTTGGTTTCACGTAACCATGGTGAAGGTAATGTCCGAAATGTGATATGAACATTTATTGACCGTGTTAATTGTTACAGACATATTCTATTTATATAGTTTTAGCCTTAAGTGTCCCCAAAATGTAGAATTCAAGACTTTGTTTATTTGGTTACTCCATCATTTAATTTTTGTCTCTAAGCTATAAGGATTTAGAAGTCTCCATTATTTTGGGTTCAGAGGGCTCTTAAAAGAGTTCTCAACCAGAGAACAGTCAGAAGTTCCAATAAAGAAAAATAATACGGGCGTACTGGTGAAAATAATAAAGTTCCAGCAAGAACAAGACAATATCAATCTAAATAATGAGCATTGAAATTGGTTCCATGTCCATTGCTAGTTGTGTCTCCTCTTATTGTCTTTAAATATGATCTATCTTGAGAACAGTCAGATTATTGCTAGGAGCAGTTCCGCCTCTCAGCTACTCATCCCTCGGCCTTTCAATTATCTTCCCTATTGATCATCCTTCATGCTCAAAGTTCTCTCACTATTGGAGTTCGGCTTAGACAATTGCGAGAGACTCTGTCTGAATTTTTTTGACAGGCAACAAGCATATATATCTTCCCTCATTAAACCCGGCGAGGAAGCTCAGCAAAATTTGAAGAAAATGTTATTCTTAAGAATATGATCTATGGTTTGTCCTCTAGAATAGCAAAATTTCAATTGCTATTCCCGGTAAAAGATTCGTTTGCATAAAATTGTTTAATGCATTATTAACCACTCATTTTATCGTATTTGTCATTATCTTAAGTAATTTTTTAATTCATTTTTGGGAGGAGGAGGTCTTTATACTTGTACTACACACCACTAGGAAAGAAACATAGTAGTTAAAGATGCAAATCTAACCAACACAATGAATATCAGATACTTAATTTTTTTATAGTTAGTTCCTTGTGATGATACCAAGAACCCAAAGAATTTGTCTGACCAAAAGAGAGTATCACATCGATATCCAATACGACATTTAGCAGTCTTTTGTTATTTTGGGCCTTCATTTTGAGTCTAAAGATAGGAGCAACTATATACTTCCAAATTGAGCCCAGAAAGAACTAGTTTCCTATGGTATGATCAATCAAAATTCAAATTCTCACTAAGAGAGGTGTTTACTTTGAACAAGATTGCCTCCACAAGAAAGAGTAATGAAAAAAAGAAACTATATACTTCACAGAAACTTTGATTTCGTATTGTAATATCCTATCAAGACAACCAAATAATGATTTCATCAAGTTTTGATCTTCCTTATTTAAGGTCGTCTTGTGATTTCAGGCTCATATTTCAATGGCCTTGAAAGACTTGGAGCCTCATTGGAAGGCAAAAGCGTCGTGTTTGAGGGCTTAAACAAACACATTCTTGAGGCAATTCCAATATGGCAACAAGGTAACAGCAACCAACTCAAGTGAGATTGCTTCAATACGAAAAATTACCAAAGACCGCGAACGCATGTACTAACAATAAAAACGCAAGTAATTTGGAATTTGTTAACATTTACCCGTAACTAATAACTATTCCGATAAATAAACAATGAATAAAAACAAATTCGAATCTAATGAATTGGGAAAAAGAAAAGGAGTATGTCACTGGGAAAAAAAAGAAAATGAAAAGGAGTAATACAAGAGCTTCACTTCTCAGACTCAACCCTGCTTAGAATCTAGTTTACATGGTTGTCGCAAAAGAAAATTACTAATGAACAAAATACCCTTCAGTGGGGAAGCAAAAATCACTTGGTTTAAAATCAAAATTGTGAGACAAATATAGCAATAGGGGGGAAAAAAAGCGCAATTCAACACATGATATAGTGACATTCTCCTTCCTGTCTTTAAGAACTTGTAAATACTATAAACGATCCTGGCGAGCAAATATGGTAGGAAACATTTTCTTTTTAGCGGCCAAAATCCCCCGTAAAACCAGATTTTCTTCCCTATTTACTGTATTTAGACATCATTAAAAAGAACCTATATGTAAACTGAGAGATCATTGGTCATTTGTACAGTCAAATCCATGGCAAACAGATAGCCAGATAACGAGGACTAAAAACAACAAAATTCCGAGAACAACCAACTTGATTTTCATATTCTGATACCACATCTTGCGACGGATCTGTGTTCCTTGCTTTTTGAACTCTTGGGCCTAAAAATAAACACACGTGGCTCTCAGCCTTAGTAGAAAACATATAAGTTGAAAGGTTAGCTGTCTACCCTTAGTCAACTAACCTGTGACTTCAATGTTTCTGTCTTGTCCGCAAGAATGGTTAGATTTTCTCCTCTGTCAATAGCCTGAAAGGATGTTCCATGAAAATAAAGATCACAACTTAATACAAACAAGCATCCAATCATAATGAAACTTCAAATATTGCATCCCAATAGAAAATGGGGAACATGTGAAAAAGCATTGATCCATGCAAAGAAATTTCATGATGACACAAGTTTGCAAGTGTGACAAGGATCAAAAGAAGCTTAATTCATCAGTTACAGGAAGAGTTATTGATCTTCCATTACAAGTTGTCCCCAGTAATACTGGCAGGACGGAGAACAATTAAGCATAGATGTGCATTGCTTTACCAACCACTCTCATTGCTACGAGGGAAGTAAAATTTGGCCAGCAGAAAGATGGAGTTTTCACAGCAAAGAAGTCCAGTGACTGGTATAGCAACTCAAGGAACTAAAACTCTCCTCGCCTCAAAACCTTTCTTAAAAGAGAGAAAACCATTGAATTGCAGTGAACACGAGGTTAAAGAAGGATGCATAGAGACATTTGCACAAGGAAATGAATGAAGTACAGAATTATTTCCATATTTTACACTTGAAAAGTTAAGGTACCTTGTCGATGTTCTCTAACATTATACTTTTAACTTCTGAAACTTGAGCCTTCACTTTTATTAGCTTTTCAATCTCCTCAGCGTGGTCTATGATATACTTCATATGCTCTTTCATAACAGGTCTGCAATTGCACATTCATTCACGATATTATTCATCTTTGGAAACAAACTTTCTTACTCATGCATTAGGATATGAACGAAGAGCTCAAAAAGAAATGAGGATACCCAAACTCCTTGTTGAGACTTTTGCCAACAGCTGTATCTGCTTTTCCACCACCATATCTTTTTTTAAAGTCTGCTCTGACACGTTCTAGAAAAGCAATAGAGATCTGCTTGCTAACAGATTCCTTTGCAACAACACAGTAAGCTGCAAGAATCCCAGTTCATGAAGTAAAGCATAAGTTGTCCTTCTGTGCACCTCAATGATGAAGTAAATCTAGAGTTTCAGCAGTATGGCAAAATATCCAATAAAGTCAAAATATAACTTGTGGGGGTTATGGAAGTGGCAGTAATAGGTTCTAACAAAAGTAAGGCACCAACTCTAGGAGATAACAATCACGTATTTGTCATCGCGCAATCATGAAAGTGGCCATGCATTTTTATTGCTCCCTAAGCCAGTGCCAAAAGTATCTCAAGTTCTCAACAGTAAGTTTTATCACAGCGCTAGTCTCAAGATAAATTTTGTTTGAAGACTTATTGTAGCTCGGTTTCTATACGGCGATAGACGAAATGATTCATGTCCTACCAAGATATCTGGTATCTCAAGATTTAAGGGCAGCAAAGGATAACATTGAAGTGAAGCAATAGCATGGGTTTGTACAGGGATGTTGCGACAAAATACTGAGTAACTCTCAAGCCGGCTATTGCTAGCAATGTTCATCTCCTAATGATACAAACGTGCTATCAATCAAGGATGTATGGGCTGCATAGTGTAAGAAAAACGATAACTTTCAACATCAAAGAGAATCCAATCATGGGAAAGATCTAATTTTTCTTCTTTCTTTGACAATAAAAATGAACACACATGCAGACACATCCAAAAGGGTCTCCATAATTTTCATTCATCAGTGGTAAATGCCTCTTCGTTTATAATTAAAGCAACAAAAGATACTCTAAACTTCAAAGCAGAATTCTCTGTCCTGGTAGAGCCATGCAAAATAAACTTGCGTATACCCAATGCTACAGAGCAACAAAACTTAGTTCGACTTCCAAAACCCACATTCTACTTCTCGTTCATTATCTTCTTCAGTAGTTGGATGGGCAGGTAACAACATCCATGACAGAACGCATAAAAGCAAACAAAGTTTGGAAAGTTAAAATCAAACAGCCAAACAGAACCAAAAAACGGAAATCATTGTGCCGAGTGAACGGCCCCAGAGTAAGTCAAGTCCGTTCCAAAACCAGATCCAGTACTTCAAAAAGAAATTCAACTTCCATTCCATTTTCTTTGACAAGAGTTGTTTCTTGTCACAGACATGCGAGAGGGAGAACAAGCTGAGTAAAGAGAGATGCAGGGAGGGAGAGATCAGAGAAGTGTAGGATTACCGTAACCATCCTGGAGTAGAAAATTGAAGGTGTGGTGGTCACAATTATAAGTGAACTTGTTATTGGAGGAAGGTAGTTTCTGAAGACACTGAGCTGCAATCGCCGGAAAGTTGCCGGTGAACTCAGTGTACTCAGCTAAGACCATCGTCCCCCGAGCGACAAAGCTATATATAAATGACTCCTGGCCCATTGCTCTCTGAGACCACTACGAGCTCACCTGTAGATGCCCAGAGAGAGAGAGAGAGAGGCAGAGAGATGGGTGGCTCCTCTGCTCTATGTTGGCAATTTTACAAAAAATACAAAGATGGTAGATGGAACGTTAAATATATTACAAAAATGGGACAAACAATGTAAACTTTAGATTTTTCGTTGATCAAAAAAGGAAGCAGGAGAATGCGAAAAAAATGAGTATTGAAATGAAACAAGTATGAACTTAGATCTGAAGCGAATGAGCCCCCGGCATTTAAGAGAAGTGCTTTCGGCGGGGAAGCCTTTAATTATTAAAAAAAATCCAACTTGCAAATTATGATCATTAAAAGCAATATCACATATTGATGAATTCTTTTCAAGGTAAGGTAGGAAAGCAAAGCACCATGTCATTTACCTTTTCCCGTTTTTGCTCATTTCTTCCTACCCCTTTCAACTCCGGCTAATTAGGTGGGGAGAAACATTTTTTAAAATTATTTCTTAAATAATATTTGTTATATTTATCACTTTGTTTAATAAAATTATATTCTTTATAAAAAATTAATATTATATTCAGCACTAGATAACTAAGCAAGGAACAAAGTGATTTTTTTTTTTTTTGCTTTCTTTTGTTTTTGCCAATTTTTAGTATTGAATGCCTTGGGTACGCTTTACAAACATATTCTCATGCCAAATAGAAACAATCCATTCTCATTATCCCCTTTCACAGCATAAGAAAATAACTAAGGTTTAGATTTTGTTTACTTTACTTTATATATCTTTTTCAAAACTCTTGATTTTTTTTTGGGCCTGCCCGTTTTAATTGGACAATTTTTTAAATATATTAATTTTGTCGGGCCATTTTTTACGTTAATATACCATATCACCTAACTTACTACATGTTTAAAAATAGAATTATTTTATTAAAAAAAAACTATTTCACAATTGACACAATGAATAGCATGATGCAATATATTCATCAGATAAAAAATTAAATGAACATAATTTTCTTATTGTATTGGGTTGAAAATTTTTATGCTATTAATAATAAGATGCAAATGACGTGACTAATTTTTTTAAATTTAAGTAATATATGAAACTATAAGAATTATATTAATTTTATATCAAATGAATATTTTAATAATAAAACAAACAGATTAAAAGTTATGAATGATGTAACCCACTATTTAAATTCCATATAAATATGTAGAGGCGCCTATTTAGTTGAAATTAAAGGTTAATACAAAATTAATCTTTCTTACATTAATTTTTTACTGCAATTATAATTCTATAATAAAATATTTTATTTCACAAATTATAAATGATAATGTCCAATGTCCATTCCTCAAATTTTTTGCATGGTAATAAAATCCATTTCCAGGTTTCCCTCAAACGGGCCATGAGTTTGGTGTCAAGACGACGCCGCATCTGGTGGCAGTGCAGAGCGTTCTGTTGTGACATGTCCTGAGCCGGTGTTTCCACCACCGACAACTGCCCGGTCAAACTCTGCCACGTCAAACCTCAAAACCCTCTCCGCCGCTAAACTCCCTCATCCCCCCCCCCTCTCTCTGCTCTTAATTTTTTCAAGAAAATGTATTTTTTTTCTGATTCCAATATATGCTCACTGTTCACAATTACGACCAAAACTAAAAGGACAACGACAAGCACTATATCACTCCTTCCATGGTAAGAAAGTAACAGCCTTGTTGTAAATTTTTCCTCTGCTTCTGAAAGAGAGTAGGGACAGGAAGGAGATTAAACCCAGAATTCACCGTCATGGTGAATCAAAAATCAAAAAGCTTCCAATTTGTTTGCATTGCTACTCCCATATAGCATCTTCTCTTCTTCATTTCTGTAAAAATCCACATTTCTCCCATGGCTTCCTGCTTGCCCAGCCTTGTTTTTATCACCCTCTTGTTATTCTCCTTCTTCTTCTGCTTGACTTTCTCTCAAGCTACTTCCAGGGATGAATCCGACGAAGACAGCTGCGACAACCGTTGGATCTACCTCCGGAGCCTCCCACCGCGCTTCAACCTCGATCTGCTCATGAATTGCTCCGAATACCCGCTTTTTGACAACTTTTGCCCTTACTTGGCCAATCATGGCCTTGGCCAGAAAACCCATAACCGCTCTTATAGTTGGTATCGCACCGACCCGTTGATGCTTGAACTCATATTCCACCGCCGTATGCTGGAATATCCATGTCTCACAGAAGATCCATTTTCTGCTAACGCGGTTTACCTTCCCTACTATGCTAGCCTCGACGCTTTGCGTTATCTCTACGGTCCGGAGGTTAACTCTAGCGCCGAGCACGGACTCGAATTGTTCGAGTTTCTGCAAGAGGACGAGCCCGGAATCTGGAATCGGCACATGGGTCACGACCATTTCCTGGTGATGGCTCGGCCGGCGTGGGATTTCTCGCAGCCCTTGGAGAATGATCCACCCATATGGGGGACTTCGTTTCTGGAGTTGCCGCAGTTTTACAATGTAACGGCTTTGACATTGGAGTCTCGTGCTTGGCCGTGGCAAGAACACGGGGTCCCTTATCCGACGTCGTTTCATCCGCCAAATCTCGAGCTGTTGGAGTCTTGGATTCAGAGGGCGAGGCGTTCGAAACGCACCGCTTTGGCGATGTTTGCCGGAGGCGGAGGGGTCTCCGCCACGCCTAATATCCGGCGAAGCATTAGGAATGAGTGCGAGAATAACACTGCAAACTCAACCTTATATGGTGGCTATACGAAACTCTGTGACCTTGTTGATTGCTCTAATGGAATTTGTGAGCATGATCCTATAAAGTACATGAGGCCAATGTTGCAAGCAAGTTTCTGCCTGCAACCTCCTGGGGATACTCCGACTCGTAGGTCGACGTTTGATGGATTTCTAGCTGGATGTATCCCGGTATTTTTCGAGGATCAATCGGCGAAATCGCAGTACGACTGGCATTTGCCAGAGAACGAATTCGAGAGCTTCTCGGTGTTTATACCGAAGGAGGATGTGGTGTTCAAAGGGGTGAGGATTTTCGATGTGTTGCGAGGCATTTCTAGAGGCAGAGTTAGAAGGATGAGGGAGAAGGTTTTGGAGATGATTCCCAGAGTTATGTACAGGAGGCATAATAGTTCACCTGGTCTCAGAACTAAGAAAGATGCTTTTGATGTCTCAATTGATGGCACACTGCAGAGAATTCAAACGAGACTTCAAGAACTCAATTTGGCTCTGTGACCTGACATCTCTCTTCAATGTAATTATAATTTTGGTTGCTTTTACTTCTTCATTCCTTCTTTACCTAATTTATCTACTATAGATTCTAGATTAAATCATAGAGCTTTTATTGGTAATAATACGTAGGTTTCGAGGCATTTCCTGGTACTATTCGTTTTGAACTATCTTTGTAGAAGATATATGAAATAGCGAACCAATTCTATCAAAGTTGTAGCTCCCCTGTATCTCGTCTGTATCTTATCTGGTGAATTTGCCTCAAAAGAGATCATGGATATGGCAAGGTTTGGGGTTAAAAATTGATCTGCTTATTATGCCCATGCTAGGTCCTAGAATTCTTTCATATGGATATGGAAGTAGGGTTTGGACTTTTGAGAACCGTGCTTGTGATTTTTCCTTGGGCTAACCTAAAAATTATTGAAGGTTTTGCTTGTACTTTAAATCTTTTGTGGTTTTCTGTTTTTATGTATGTTTGCCATAATTACAAGTCTACGGAACCCAGTAATGTAGCAAGAAAAAATGCATTTTTGCTGGTGATGAGTGTGCATTATGTCTTTTTAATTGGTGATTATTCATTCCCTAGAGTCATTTGCCACCCCATCGTCATGTGATTATTCTGAGTATAGAAATATGGAGATTCATGAAACCAGCAAAATGTGATGAATATGTTTAGAAAGGTTAAGGTCTGAGGTTTACTAAGTTCTACCTTCATTAAGCACACAGTTATATAGTATAGTGGATGAAATTTGGTTGTCTATGAAATATATTTTAATGCGAATTTCAGAAAGCGGGTAATGTTTTATTCAAATCTTATGCCTTATTTCCAGTTTGCACAAAATTCTTTCCTCTTGCTAGGTAACTTATCTGGACAAACTTGAATCAATAACCCGCTGAATTTCATTTTGATGTCATACTTTTGCATGGAAGACTGATGGTTCTGAGGAATAAAATTATGCATCCAGTTTGTCCTAGATAATGTGATTACTGATTAGATAACTAATCTACAGAAATGAGAAAGAAAGATTGAACTAGATGCTGGTGTTTCATATGATTTATCATCTCTGTTGTGTTTTATAAGTAGATCACTACCCTTGATAATTATTCAATACATTCCAGCTTTGCGAGTGAGAAAAGTATATTTAGATTAGATAATCGCCATTCAAGAAAAATGCATGCTTTAAAACTCATGTAACCGCTAGTTTTGCCCTTTTTACCTGCTCCTTTGGAGTGATATATTAATGTGAAAAACATATTAGTCAGGCTACTGTATTAGTTTGTATGTTAGTATTTATGCTTGTCTGATGATATTAGAATACTATTGAAATAAGATGCTGAAACACTTCGACTATTATTCTTCTTAAAACATGAATCTTCTGAGAGAGAACCAGCTTCTGCTTGATTTTTGATTATGACAAAGGTGAGAACACTTCGACTATTATTCTTCTTCCTTTCCATGATATGCATTTTCTTTTTGTTTTCTTGCATTTTGAGTAATTATTTCTTCATGGTGATTTGTTACCAAATTTGGTGGATGGTGGATTAGGTGGTAATCTTATTATTAAGAGTGGGTGGCAACATAACTGTGAGATGTTGACCTTAATTGGGGTAAATGTTGAGAATCAATGGGGCTGTGCTGGCCCACATAAAACGAGTTTGACAGTGACAGTCAGTGGTAAGTGTTGGGGATTGATTGTTGTCGGGGTTAATCAGTATAATCACAGTTCACTGATTGAGGCTTTCATGGTGGATGAAATCATTCTTGAGATTGTTGGGTAGGAAATAGTGAAGAGAGAAACAGAGACAGAGACAGAGTGTTGAGATGGGACTTCCACCGATGTATTCGAATGTACCATGAATATATGTGAGGGAATTAATCATTTGGCGGTTATAGTTTTGACATGATTATAGCTTAGCTTCTAAACTTTAACTAGCTACAATTTAATCCTCACAATTTTGACTTGGTTAAAATTACATTTATGAATTTTGATTCGGTGCAACTGATCCCTTTGAACCATTTAAAATTTTGATCCTTACAATGTAGAACACAATATTATAAGGACTAAGGTTAAACTTTGGGATTAATATTTTAAATGGCTAAACTATAGGTTTTTACATTTCATATGACTTGAGCATTCCTATCTTTGTTTCGGTCTTCCCTAAAACTAAAAATGTTTTTGGGGAAAATGTACTATAGTGACCAAACTGTTTAACTAATTATAAAAAGGATGGTGATGCCGAAGATCTGGATTGCATTGAAAAATCCACTATATGTCACTTTTGTCTTCAAATTCGTAGATAGTGAATGATCTCTCTGACGTCTATTAGGCGTTTGACTACACACGCACACATATAATATTGTGTCTGCATTCTGCATACTGCAAGCAATCATGTGGATTTCGCAAGAACAAAAATCATACATTTTGTAAGATTAGTTGGCCACTTCCCATTTGTTTCCCCCTTTTTCTTTTGGTTAGGTTTTCTGTTTTGTTCCTAAATAGTTAGAAATCGTTTTTTTTTTTACCAACATTTCTTTATTTGAGTAACAAGAAACTGATTTGTTGTAAATAAAAAGTTGAATTTAAATTTTATGAATGGGGACAACAAATTAAAGAGAACCCCATGTGTTTGTGAATTCGTATGGGCCATGTTTTTGCAGAGGTCACCAGACATGATTTAAATTAAGATTCAACAGGTTCTTGGAATCAGACGATGAAGAACTTTTGAAAATAAAATTGAGAAAATTATTCGTGGTCCCAAATAAAGGACTGAAGTCTCGTGATTTATTTATGAAAAAGTAATTTTTTATTAAAAAAATAACGTCATATGCATGGCTGGGTTCGCAAGCGACAAGACAGAGGCTTAACGGAGGAGCAAAAGATGCTGTGGCTTTAGCTCCTCGCTAAGAGACATGGAGACGTCGCTTTCGGCCCCATCACCAAGCATCTAATCAAACTTACGTAACCATTTTTCATTAAAAGACGCAGCCATTTATCTCAGCCATGATAATACGACTACACGGAAGGATTTCTATTATATTTAATCTATTAAAAAAATATTTATCAAAGCATGCTTTTTTTTTTTTCCGTTAAATATTTAGTGTTGGGTAATGCTGACTAAGACGTCTCTATTTTATACACATCAAACCTGGGGCATGCTTCATCAAGTACATTCATTTCACACTTAAATAATAGAGAAACTCATATACAAGTTGATGCCTTTAAAGTCCGCTGATTAGTGCCAAGGATGATCACAATTACGGTTACATCGTCATGGTACTTCCTCCTCCTTCCCGCCGGAACATTCATCAACTCTTCCATGCTGAAACCTGCACCAACATCACTTTGTAAACTGATCAAATGAAATCACAAGAACGACGTAGACAACGTTTGCACCGGTTCTCTCGTACATTAAACAAAATTTGACGAAATAATTGCATTATTTATAATTTGCAACCTCACATTTAAGAAAAACTTGAAAAGAGGTGCTTAGTGTCATTAGGCCAGAAGGCCTCGACAAACTTGTATTTCATGATCGAATGAATAGTTTGAGCTCGGACGTTGTGGACCAGAATTGTGCCTAGAGAAAACTTGTTTCTTGGGGGTAATATAGAAATTAGCATGGGTTGTTGGGATTTTCAAAATTTACCTGCACAATCAGCTGCTTTTGATAGAAGCTGCTCGACAAGAAACTTTGCTGGATCACCAGAAGGGTTGCTCTGGATATAAGACTCTACAAGCTCCACTGCTTCGTCATTGTTGAAGAAATCAAATAAACCATCACTCCCCACTATGACGAAATGATCAGAACTTGAGATCTTATGCACACCTAACGATGGTTCAGCAGAAAATATGGAGGGCTTACAAGATTACGAACCCGAAGGATCCCCATCAATGCATCATTCAGACTTTTCTGCATGTCAATAAAAAATAAGAAAAAATAATTGCTTGGTGGGGTAAGATATTTATAATTGCAATGAAGGGGTTGATCATAAGTAAAATCCAGAACAATAGATGACTAAATCATTCACTCTTTGTTGCCGCTGGCAGCTTCTAAATAATTATAGTTATATACATATATGAAGACATTCTTGTGAATAATCCCTATTAAAAACTTTCGGAAACATCTGGTTCAAATATAAAGAGATGGAATTTTAACCTTTTTCAAGTAGCCAACTCCAATTGCGCGGGTAACCTTCAGTTTTCCTTTCACTCTTCCTGATACAATGGTCATAGGATCATCAGGATGATCAGCCAGAAGCTGAGCTCTTTCGGCTTCATTTTCAACAGTGTGACTATCTGTAAGCTGGATAGCTTTGAGTTTTCCATCCCCATTTGATTCACAATCGCTTGTTGCCAACACTGCTCTGCTGTCACCAAGATTAAGTGTATACAATTCATTCCCATGAAGAAGCACAAGTAAAACACAAGATCCAATCGAAACCAAGTCTGGGCGATCCTCCATTTCTTGGTCAACCATGTGTAGGAAATCATTCTCAACCTGCCTAAGA